CATTATACATACTCTTTTGGTTTCTGTACCCAATATTTTAAAAATGTACAAATGCAATGAAAATATTGGTATCGGTACTCGGTATCGGCAATTACCAAAAATAAAAGTATCGGTATCAGGCGAGTACTGGAAAAAGTGGTATTGGTGCATTCCTAATATATATATATATATATATATATATAGTGTGTGTGTGTGTGTGTGTGTTAGTGTGTTCCCGTTTCAATAAACAATGAAGAAATACTCCCCTTTATTAATTTGATTTTAACTTAAACATAAAATCTAGACAGGATATTTAAGTGGAGTATTGTTGTTTGTAGTCTCTGTATGGGCAATTATCAAAGCTCAACAAGTGGAATATTACCCATGAGTGAAACGTTGCCAAAATAAGATAATATAATCATGATGAAATATTTACAATTTTAATTGTTCAACAGTCCTCATCTATCTGTTTCGGTGGTCACGGGATGTAAGGTGGAGTTTAAATGTGGTTTTGAGACACGCACTCCCCCTTTAAAAGTGCCTGCACAATTTGTTTTAATGCTAACTGGTGCACAGCTGTGCTTTGAGGTAAGTAAGAGTTTAGAGGAACTAAAAAAGGAAGAGCTTTTTCAAAAAGGAAGTTTGCAAAGACAGATCTGAATTGAGATTAGACAGAGACATTCAAAAAGAAACACAACATAGAAGTTCTCTGATGGACAGAATTCACAAGGTAAGTTACTCTCCAATACCTAAGTGTGCATCAGACATTCTGTTGCATTTCAAGGTATTAAAACTTAATGTCTTTGGTAAGCATTATAATGACATCTGCAATTTTTTTTTCTAAGGTCTGATATATACACATGCAATGACAAAAAACAATCCTCAATTTTTCCCCATTGCGTCGCCGACCACCATGTCGAAAACTCCCCAGACAAACTGCCAGACAGACAACACCAGCTTGCAGGTCCCGCTGGCTATTTTCTATGCACTCTTCTTCCTCTTCGGGTTGTCTGGGAACCTGCTGGCTCTCTGGGTGTTTCTGCGAGTACATCCAAAGAAAAACTCTGTTCGCATTTTCCTCATTAACCTGGCTCTGGCTGACTTACTCCTTGTGATCTGCCTGCCTTTCCGAGTGGTGTACCATTCCAACAATGACCGGTGGGTGCTGCCGCCATTATTGTGCACGATGGTGGGCATTATCTTTTACATGAACATGTACATTAGTATAGTCTTACTGGGCTTCATTAGTGTAGATCGTTATTTGAAGTTCCAGAGGTCGTCCTGTAGGCGGGTGTTCCTGCATAGCCGATGGAGCGTGCTTTTCTGCGGTGTCATCTGGGCTGTGGCATTTGTTTGTGGCATTTGCTTCACTGTCCTGAATAGAGAGCATGGTGAATCCCAACAGTGCTTCCAATACAAAAACCTGTATAAATCCAAATGGAAAGCCTATTTCAACTTTGCCATCGTGGGTATGTTTTGGCTGGTCTATGGTGCGTTGGTAATCTCCTACGGAAGGATCGGAATGAACCTCCTAACAGCCTCCAAAGAGAAACCAGATTTCCCAAATGCTGCCAAGTACAACAAAACAGCATGGAAGTCCTTCTTTGTGCTCTTTCTCTTCACAATATGTTTTGTGCCCTACCACTCTGTAAGGATTTTCTATATCATGTCACAGATAACAAAAGACACCTCTTGCGAGTGGATAAGTGTGTTGGATAAAACCAATGAAGTAGTTCTGCTACTGTCTGCCTTTAATAGCTGTCTGGATCCAGTCATGTACTTTTTGTTCTGTAGTTCTATTCGCAAAGTGATGCTGAAGATAATCTGTAATAGCTTTTGTCAGCAAAACGCCAGAGGACTGAACAGTTCTAGTGACACTCCACAAGAGCTGCCAAATATCAGTGCAGTTGTGCCTATGACAAACGCTCAGGACGTCAAACTATCAAAAACACCAGCAACAGATAAAGTGGTGCTATGAGAGCTCTTAAAACATATAAACCATGTCCAAAGACACAGCAATGTTTATTATTATTATTATTATGCAAGTAAAGAATGTGACAATATTTACATGTGCACAGCAAAATTAAAGGAAAGTTAAAGGAAATGCAGTATTGTGTTGTGAACAGCGCATTTACTTTCGGTAGAAACACTATAAATAAAAGTTACATTAATACATTTTACAGAATTATCATACAAAAATAATTAACATGCCCTTACTGCATCATGAACTAACAAAGAACAACATTTTTAAAGCATGTATTAATCTAGGTTAATTTAAAAACATTAATAATTTAAAAATTAATTTATAAGTATTATTGTTCATTGTTAATTCATGTTTGTTCATTACACATTAACTCATTTTAATTTATACACCTTCAAATGTTAAAAATGTATTAGTATATTTAAAAAAACCAACATTAATCACTATTAATAAATGCAGTAAAATAATTGTTTACTGTTAGTTCATGACATCTAAGGCATCAGCTAATGTTAACAAACTGAACCTTATTGTAAAGTGTTAGTTAACATAACTCCATTTAACTTACGGTGTTGTATAGTGCTGTGTTCGATACATCGATACGACAATGTATCGTCACAGAGATTTGAGATACGAGTATCGATACAGCTGTCCCTGTATCGATATTGTGGCACATGTGCAGCAGTGGACCACGCTTAATTTAAATACAAGAACAACGTTTAAAATTGAGTAGAAAAGTGCGAGGTTTCTAAAAAATAATGAATAGCGCATAATATATAGGCTACAACAAGGTTTAATCTGGCCGCAGAGGAACACAACCGGGGTTGCCTGATATAAAGAGACGTAATCCCTGAAACAGAGCTTCCCACTTGCGCAATACAGAAATATCTGCTAAATGTGCTACTTATCTTTGTCAACCTGGCAACCATGTGCACGTGCTCTCTCTCCACTGTGGATAAATGCGCTTGCTTTCTGAACACACTGGTAAGCTTGCAGTTTAGCGATTTCCACTTCAAGTCTATTCTCAGAAAAGTGTAATTCATCAAGTGTTCATTTATGAGAGAGAGAGAGAGAGAGAGAGAGGCTGTGTATGTATGAATTACCACCGTTTTGCCGCGTTTCTCTATTAACAGTGAAGCTGTGGCTTCAATTCCTTTAGAAACAATGATG